ATGCTATGATGACCTAGCTGGCAACAGAAAACAAAACGCTTCTTTCTTCTGACAGGAACACAAGCTCAGTGATTTAATTGGGACTAAATGGGAAGCAGCTGCTAGACAGCAATGGAATCTCAAACCTTTCTTACCTTTGACAACAGAAAATTGCTAAATAGTATAAGGATGTGAGGTCTGACAGATAATGAGCATGTGGTGTTAATTAACTATCAGTGCTGAGGTGATTATTATCATTAATCATCAGGCCTTGAACTTCAAATTCACTGAGTGGAAACAGAGGAGTGCTGACGGAGCGCTGGGCTTTATCAACTCGCCACGGAGACACGCTTTATACTAGGGATGCACGATACCATTTTTCAGAACCGATCCCAATCCAATACCAAAAGTTCTGAGTATGGGACAATACCGATACCAATCCGATACCAAAAGTTCTGAGTATCGGACAATACCGATCCCGATCCCATACCAAAAGTTCTGAGTATGGGACAATACCGATACCAATCCGATACCAAAAGTTCTGAGTATGGGACAATACCGATACCAATCCGATACCAAAAGTTCTGAGTATCGGACAATACCGATCCCGATCCCATACCAAAAGTTCTGAGTATGGGACAATACCGATACCAATCCGATACCAAAAGGTCTGAGTATCGGACAATACCGATACCGATCCGATACCAAAAGTTCTGAGTATCGGACAATACCGATCCCGATCCCATACCAAAAGTTCTGAGTATGGGACAATACCGATACCAATCCGATACCAGCACAGTTTTTTTTTATTTCTATACCTCAGTGTGTGTTGACCCGATCATCACTCTTTTATGTATTACACACAATCTACTAAATATAGACAACTTCATTATAAAGAAAAATAGCAAATAAAAAAATATATATTCATAATCTATGAGAAAAATAGGCTACTATTATAAACTAGGTTAGTGGATAATTCAGCAGCAAAAGTTACTCTACAAAAATTAGTTCAATAATTTTATAAAATCTAAACATTTAGAGAAAAACTATTTAGTGGGGGAAAAAATAAAAGAAAATAAGTGTAATCTGGTAAAATGTTACACAATGCCCTTTGTACTGTAATCAGAATCAGAATCAGAATTCAGAATCAGAATGAGCTTTATTGCCAGGTATGTTTACACATACGATGAATTTGTTTTCATGACAGAAGCTTCCACAGTGTAACAGAATGACAGTGACAGAACAAAAAACACACCGATACCAATCCGATACCAAAAGTTCTGAGTATCGGACAATACCGATACCGATCCGATACCAAAAGTTCTGAGTATCGGACAATACCGATACCAATCCGATACCAGCACAGTTTTTTTTTATTTCTATACCTCAGTGTGTGTTGACCCGATCATCACTCTTTTATGTATTACACACAATCTACTAAATATAGACAACTTCATTATAAAGAAAAATAGCAAATAAAAAAATATATATTCATAATCTATGAGAAAAATAGGCTACTATTATAAACTAGGTTAGTGGATAATTCAGCAGCAAAAGTTACTCTACAAAAATTAGTTCAATAATTTTATAAAATCTAAACATTTAGAGAAAAACTATTTAGTGGGGGAAAAAATAAAAGAAAATAAGTGTAATCTGGTAAAATGTTACACAATGCCCTTTGTACTGTAATCAGAATCAGAATCAGAATTCAGAATCAGAATGAGCTTTATTGCCAGGTATGTTTACACATACGATGAATTTGTTTTCATGACAGAAGCTTCCACAGTGTAACAGAATGACAGTGACAGAACAAAAAACACAGATAATAAAAAATAGAACAAATAGTAAATTAGGAATAACAATATATAAATTGACAATTGTGTGTGCAGGTATATTACAATAGACAGTTTTGTATGTACAGGTACTGTATATTATGTGCAAATTTGAGGTGTAGACTGAGTATGTGTGTTAGATAAATAAGTGTATGAGTGTATAAATAGTGTGTGTTCCACAGTTATTGTCAAGTGTTCATGAGATGGATGGCCTGAGGGAAGAAACTGTTCCTGTGTCTGGCCATTCTGGTGCTCAGTGCTCTGTAGGGTCGACCAGTTCAAAGAGGGAGTGTGCTGGATGTGAGGGGTCCAGAGTGATTCTGCCAGCCCTTTTGCTCACTCTGGA